TGCTGAGGCGCTTTCGCGTTTCGCTTGCCCGTGAAGCGAGCGCTGCAACGGCCGTTGCGTTTTTGAAGTTGTGTATTACTTAGGGTATGCGGTCTTAACAGACCGACTAATTAGACACAGCCCCCTTGATCCCCTAAGCGACCTTTGTCCCCGCAGCTCGGGGGCGGGTTTGCGTGGAGCTGGCGTGGTCGGCTGTCGATAGGCCCTATGAAGACCCGAGCACGGCTGAAGAGTGCACATTCACTGCACGGGGAAAAAAAAAAAGTAATTCTTTGAAAATTACTGCATGCCTCCTTGAAATGGACACCCTCGCTGAAATTCTTAATCGGAGCGCTCTGGTTTTCTGCTTGCTAAGTGCTTGAAATGAAGCAAGATCTTCTATTCTAACTTAGCGGGGTTATTTCTGAGCACTCTGTAAATCTCCTGAAAGCAGTTTGCATTTTTCATCTGTTTTTTTTTTTTTTTTTTGGGGGGGGGGTGTTATTTTTTGTAGGAGATCATGATGTCCATGAGGATTTTTAGAATACGTCTGCTGTTCTGGTCTCTGGCTGCGTTCTTCATCTCTGCCCTAGCTGAGGAACATGTAGGAGAGAGTCAACATGCAAATATTCGCCTCGATAAGAACTTGGTACAAGATAAAGAGTACGTGTTCCATGTTCTAAAAATGTAAACTTTACTTCTTAATGATTGGCTTATCTTCTAAGTCTTGTTACATGAGTTGGACTTAAGCCTAGGGCACCCTCTTTTCTCAGGATGTTGTATGACTAGCTGGAGTCGGATATGAGACATGCTTGCTCAATAGGTTTCTAGAGATACTAGACCTAGAAAGATCTCTCTGGAGCCTTTAGCCCTACTCACGCTATAAAGAATTTCTTACAGGAATCCTGCTTACCTAGATCAACGTGCTATAGACAAAGTCATATTCTGAACAGGCAAAGTGAGAGTTCTTTTCTCATTTGCTTCTTCATACGGACAGAACAGTGGTAGCAGCAAATAAAACTGCCTAGAATATTTCATGTTTGACTGGGAAAGATTTTCCTCCAGTTCCTGTGCTTTGGAAGACAGCTCTCTCCAAAAGGAGATTTTGGGCACTGCTTCAGTTGTTTTGATAACTTGCTAAGTAGGCCAGAAGAAAGCAAAATTGCTACCTAAGGTATTAAGAGGCAACTACAGCACCTGTAACAAACAACCTTTGTGCCCCCTTCATCTTAGTATAAAACTGTAGCTTTCGGTTGCCCAGGGCGCTTTTAGAGATACGATATTTCCTGTGCACTTGACTGTCTGATCAAAGACTAAATTTGATGTAAACAGAGCATTAAATATTAACTGACAGGTATGTTGTGGGTTTTGGGTTTGGTTTTTTTTTTTCTTAGCCACATCATGGAACATTTGGAAGGTGTTATTGAGAAACCGGAATCTGAGATGTCTCCGCAAGAGCTGCAGCTTCATTACTTCAAAATGCATGATTATGACGGCAATAATTTGCTAGATGGGTTAGAGCTTGCTACTGCTATATCACATGTCCACAAAGAGGTAGGTGGAATTTTGTAACGTCATGTGTGTGTAGAAACAGTTCTGACTCTCTAAAAGCAACTTACAATAGAACAGAACAGTTACAACACATCTTAAGTGCCGTTGGTTTTGACTGAAAACGAGATTATTTCCCCCCCCGATAGTTTTGGTTTGATTTATGAGTGTGCTGGCTTTATCACAGCTTTTCATGTCACATTGCCGTTTTCGAGAAGTCTCCATTGTACTTTAAACTGAGTGATGGAGAACTGTAGAGTGAAAATGGTTTGACAGAGGGGATACTTTGTTAGGCAGGGATGGGGAGAAAGGGAAGTTATCCAAAACGGGATAATGCTGATGAGGGTTTATAGAAGTAGCATGTGATATGATGCTGTTTGAGGTTCTAAGGCTGCTGTTTTCAAACTGTTACTGCCGTATGTACACAAACTGTAAGAGACCTCCTGCACAAAATTAGTATTAGAAGAACCAGTCATGGTCTGCCTTTGTTTTCTTCACCTTTTAGGAACATTTAAGGACAAAGTAGGAAAATACAATCCTTAGGAAGACAATACTAGCACATTATCTTCTACTGACCTTTTGGAAGTTACAATTCAGAATAGCGTAACTTCCTGTGTACGCCTGCGGCAAAAAATGCTTAGCTGAGAACAGAATAATGACTTGCTCTTTCTTGTGCAAAGGCACCTCTTTGTATTCCCCTTTGCTCGCAAGGGGCGATACTAAGAATTTTACTGACTTTAAGCTACAGTGCTGGATTTTTTCACTACTCTGTTACTGTCAAGCTCGGCATTTTGCAAGTTCTGACACACAGGAAGATGTTTCTGTACTGTATAGAAACTATAGTGTCTATAATACACCAAGATCCAAATTAATACATCTGTTAGATTATTATCCATCATTATACACCTTGCTATTTAGCTTTTAGAACTTTTGGCTAAGCATATTAACTGGATACAGAGTGCTTGTTCTGAAGTCCGGAGAACTGGGACTTCATAGCTCGCACCTGGTAAAAGTTGCTTATATTGGTATAAATGATTACATAAATCTTAGTGCCAAATTGGCCACCAAACATGAATAGCTTAATGAAAAATTAGTTGTCAGTAATCTGTCATATCTGCCGCTAGATGGGAAACACTGCTAAACTGTTCAATGTGGTTTTGTTTTTGTAGGAAGGTGGTGAGCATACCCAGGCAATGAAAGAAGAAGAACTGATTAGTCTAATAGATGATGTCTTAAGAGATGACGATAAGAACAACGACGGATACATTGACTATGCAGAATTTGCAAAATCACTGGAATAAGGTTTTGCAGGGGGCTTGTTTCTACTTCTAACTACATGGAAATGTGAACCAGTATAATGTGATTCATTACTGTCTCATACCGACCTCTGTGCTGTGAGAAGGAGAGGTGTACCAGTTCCAGATGAATTTATTTGAAAATTGTGTTAAGAGGCTGGCTAACTCGGAGCGAGAGCCATGTTTGACTAAACGTAGCCACACATTTGAATCTTGAAGCATGGAAGCGTCAACAGTACTCACATAGGGTACAGCTGGCAAACTCTTAAGTAGCTGTCATACACAGCTACGATACTAAATACATCATATACAACCTAAATTTCAGTTTTTCTGTCATTGGGTTATATAGTACTTGTTTGCTTACATCTTCTATTTAAACTTATAAAATCCCTAGAAGGCAAGAAAAGATTACTGCATATAGTTGTATTTCAAGGATAAATGTCCTTACCTTCCCACTAATTTCAAAGGAAATTTGCATACAAATACAGGTGCTTGAAAGAGCAGTTGCAGAGGAAAAGTGTTTGAATGTGGTTTGTTTGAGGTCCACATGATACCATATGGACTTTAACACAGTCCTTGAAGAAACTGAGTATTTTTTAATATATATGCTTCCTAGCATACCCTTACATTTTACATATAAATACATATACACGTGTTTTTCAATTTCTTCTCGTCTTTCACAGAGTCTATATCTTAACTTACTGATTTTTTTTTTCTCTACCTTCTGTGGTGTTTTCTGAAGAAAATGAAAGTATTTTTGTTACATTTATATGTTGTATTAATGCTGTATAGCATTTACTGGAGTAGCTTCTGCTATCTCATTTTGAAGGTCATGTTAACAGTAAACCAGTTTAATATAAAAGCTTCTGTTCAATTTGGTTTTTACTGTATTAGCCAGCAGGATGATCTAAGCGAGCAAGTAATGCTGCCTTGTTAAGGTTTAAGTTCATACTCCTTGACACTTAAATTATGGTATTACTTTCAGGAGGTAATTCATAACAGTTTCACGATACTTGAGTGTTTGCAGATTAACATGGTTCTAGGAATGTTTTCACTGTCTTCACTCAATACTTGATAAGTCAAGCAGTTTAAGGATGTTAGAGAGATGATGTATTGCTGTGTTATTGATATTTGGTGACTGTAAAACATAACTGAAATCTTAAATTGCTTTCAATCATTATCCATTAATAGAGAATCTAAATGTTAGTGTATTTCTGTAAAATGTTAAAAGAGCTATTTTCTGTACAAAATTATTCTTATACAAGAGAAACATTTGTAAAAGAAGCTATTTCCTCTGTTTAAATGTTTGTGCAATGAAGCCTGAGTGTCAGACTTTTTTCTTGTACTATTTATTTCTTTTGATACTTTTGTGGCCAGGGTTGTGCTGGTTGTACAAGCAATAAAAGTAAGTTGGGGTTTGCGCACTCTGGAGCTAGACACACAAGGCTGGAAGTCCTAGTGAGAAACGTACCTAATTTTCTGATGTATTTTTAAGCCCATCGCTGTTACTAGCAGTCATCCTAAAAGAAAGTTCTTTCAGTTAAAGCGTTTTTTTGAATCTCTCTTTTGAGGGTAATTAATCTGGAGTGAATGTTGAATCAGAAGAAGTACAGAAAATGCTTGTGGGTAGGAGGGGAGAAGAGGTTAAGCTCATCAGCTTTGAGCGCTTAAAGCAGGTTGCCTGTAGACCTTCCAACTCTTACATGCTTATTGCATAAGCTTCTGAGTTTTGCATTTATTTGGGATGAAAGAGCAAGACCGAGGAACTGACTTTTATGCACTGCTCTTGATAAGAAAACCATGATTTTTAAGTGCAGTCTGTAAACTTAGTCCAGCAGCCACCTGTGGGGCACATTTGTATACATACTGTTGTATTTATACGTATTTGTTAATTGCTATTGTATGTGGCAAAAGACATGCACCATAGAAGCTTTGTATCAGAAATAATTATGATAAACGCAGGTGATGTGAACATTGTTTACCAACTATTTTAAACTTGTTTTTAAGAGTTCAGAAGTATGTATAAATAGAAAAATTATGTACCAAAAATGGAGAACAAAATTGGCGCCTTTGATTTCATAATGCATGAAGAAAGATCAAAACAAAATTTCTGCTTTCCTAGAAAGAACAGTTCAAGAAATGCTACCCAAGCCGAAACCTGCATTTATCATCTTCACTCAGCCTCCTAAAACAAATACGCATACTTAATTAAGTGCACTTAAAGATAAATGGTTTAACAGCTGCCTAGGGAGCTTTCTCAGTTATTAAGTAGAAAAGTGCAAAATTGCTGAGAGCGATGGTGAGTCACTTTTTTTTTCCTAAATATAACTAATTTGTGTGTTAGTTGTAGCTCATGCAGTACCCTAAATACACTGGTACAGGTCATATATGCATACAGTATTTTCTATTTCATATACATATATAGAAAATACGGCCTTTACAACAGAAGTACTCATCAACTATAAGGCTGTTTTAGCTTCCATAGAACAGTACCAGCTCCACTTCACAGATAATATAAATAACAAAGCAGAAGGGGCGTATGATTTACTGAAGGTCAATCACATCCCTGGCAGAAACATAGAACTGGGAGAATGCTGTTGTGTGTGATCTTCACCTCTTCCTGGTCTATGATCTCAAGGGATGGGGACTAGTCTTCCCCATTAGAGGAGAACACATCTGGCCTTGCATTACTGTATACTATGCGCCCAGTTTAAAGTATCTAGATTATCTGCTTTTACCTCACAAAATATTGCATAATCTAGCAGCTAAAGACGATACCCAAACTTGTTCTTGAAGCGCTCCTAAACTGAGCTGGTTTTTATTAGTCAATCTAGAACATAGTCTGTATGTGAAGGAGAAAAATCTTAACGGCTTGTCCAGTACCTGTCAGAATGCTGTTAATGACAAGAATGACTGCCTAGAACTTCCCAGCAACAGTTTTGTCTGCGTTTCCACGCAGACTTTACTACCTTTTTTTTAATTAATCACCTGTAACCTCAAAATGTCTTGGATTCATTAAGGAATGGTTACAGACTTACAAATCCTGTTTTCGTTTAAAGTATTTTTTTAATACTACAAATCACAAACAGAAGAGTAATTCAGGCATAATGTCATAATCGACACAGCCACTAGATGGCGTATTGACACTGCACATTCGTTCCCTGCAGTATGTAACCTGGAGTGATTCAACAACCTGGATTTCTCTACTCTGATTATAGGCAAGGCGTGCTGCTCTGTCTTCCAACACCACATTGCCAGTATGATGCCCACATTTTTATTAGTTTACACCTGTCATAAAAATTGACCGTAGCTGGGACTGGTTACTCGTAATTAATTTTCATTGTTTAGGGAATCCAAATTGACTTGAAGTAAAGAAACTTGCACTGTGCTAGTGTCAGTAAAAATAATTGTGTAGCAGGAAGGCTTTCTAATAGAAGCGCCAGGCTTGGCCTGACCGTGACCATCTCTAGTTGACCTATGAGAGGGTCCATGAGGTATCTACAGTGGTCTCAACCCACATTCAAGAATATTAGAGGGCTTTAGTAGGACCTGAAGTCTTACTGGTTTTGCGTTAGATGTCAGTAAGAGCTTCTGCCGCTGTTTTTACAAGGCATAGGTCCAGTGTAATCTGGTCAGCTGTTTTTGCTTAAGGTGACACTTACTGCTTTTTTCTTCCTCTCCCCCATTATGGTCTCGCTCTCTGCCCATTGCACCATGAAACAGCTGCATAATGTTCTAAGTTTTTAGTAAACAAATTAGAGCAAGGATCATTGCATACCTTGGTCTGCATTATTTATTACCACAAAGAATTTGTGTTCTAAACATTTCATCGGTACAGATCCTCTGTCCACATTGAATGAGATCCATTATAAGGGCAGTTATTAATGCCTTACAGAAGGTTTCTCTGAAGTTACATTTTTCTTCCCATCCTTCATGGTAAACTCTAAACAGCATCCTAACTCTTAAGGGCTAATAAATACTGCAATCGTCACTAACTTCCTAAGCTGAGCAGCAGTTTTACATGTAGGTAGAGGGCAGTGTAACATACGACTCAAAGTCTACTGCCAGATATAACATTTTACAAGAAATCAGTACTGCAGCGAACATAGTGTCAACTTCTGCCACTTGATCCAACTGAGTGACTGACAGCACTAGATTTCAAGAAGGCAGATGTCAATAAACTCAGAAAATGGGTAGGGAAGATCTCATAAGAGGCAAATCTAAGGGAAAAACAAATTATGGAGAGCTGTCAGTTCCTTCAAGAAATGCTAATAAGAAACCCAGTGCAACCTATGCCATTGTTGAGGAAAGTAAGGAAATTCAGCCCAAGTCAGCTAATTCACAACCTTTTAATTGACCGCAAGCATAAGAGAGAGAGAGATCTGTGAAGTAGAAACTAGGTCAGCTGGTTGAGAACCCAGCACAATACTCCATTCATGGGGGGAGTTGGGGGGGTGTATACAGTTAGTAAAGACAAAATGCACAAGATGCAACTAGCAAAACTTACCAAAAGTAAAAGAAATTTTATGGATAAGGTTGTAACTTGCTTAGAGAGTAACCAGTTATGTTAGATGTTTTATAGTTGCCTGAGCCTGATCAACTTCACTCTAGGAGTCAACGGGAGGGTGAAGTAATGGCCGCAGATGTCATATAGCTTGAATTTATTTATTTTATTTAATTTTTTGCAAGCCTTTAGCTGTACTTCCTATAATATCCTCACGAACAGGCTAGTGAACTGTGATCTAAATGAAACTGCTGTGGGAAGGGGCAGGAGGTCAAGTCTGGTTGGATAATTGTATCCACGGGGTAATTCCATCGTAACCTATCAAAATACATGTGTTTCGCAAGGAATTCTGTGGGCCTTGGTCCCATATCAAGTTTTATTTGATGTTTTCATTGAAGGCATAGAAAGTGGAATATGAAGTATGATTATTAAACTTGCAGAGGGAGCAAGGAAGGACTGCAGATGTTATAGATGCTAAAAGATCAGAATTTAAAATGATCTTGATATATTTAGAGAAGTAATCTAAAATGGCTGGACTGCAATAGTGCATGCTTACACAGACATACTCATCTGTACTTGCATAACTGTCTAGGTACCAGTTCACAAGAGACTAAGTCCCTCACTTCCAGAGACTAAGGTGGAACAAGCTGAACATGAATGGCAAAGCCCTCACATTGAGATGTCTAAAGGGTCTTAAAGACTACTGAAAGAGTCCATGTGGGCTGATCCCCACTGGTAAAGACTCACCTGGAAGACCGTGTCCTGTTTAGTGCACTGCACTTCAAGAAGGATATGAACTAGTTGGCAAGAGGCCAGAGGAGATCAGCAAAAATGGACAGAGGTCTAGAAAACATGAGGGAAGATTGCAAGAAATGGGGGGGGGGGTGGTGCTGAAGAAGTAACAGCTGAGAAGAAGGAAGGTTAATAGTCTTCAACTAAAAAGCTGTTGCAAAGAATAAGGAAATAATATGTTCTTGGTGGAAAGACCAGGAAGAATAAAACATAACGAAGCATAAATCAAACAGCTTGGGAGATTTAGATTAGACATTGGACAAAACTTCAATATCAATGATAAGATACTATAGCTTGGGGTGACATGATTGTAACTTGGTCTTGGGGCAGAAAGGTGGAGTTAATAATTTCTCCAGATCCC